ATTGGGGAACCTGCTGGAAGAACTATTAAATATCTGAGCCACTTGCTGTTCTGTCTCTTCCCTCCTGAGCTTTTGCCCTGTGAGGAGGTTAGCTTAGTTGGGCCTAGGCACATTGAAAGAGGCAGGCATCTGGGTTGGGCCTGGGAAGGGTCCCTGAAGGTCATGGCTGCTGGAAGACAAGAGTATATGGCCTAGAGGAAAGTATATGGCCACCATCAGAAAAACTATTAAATCTTTTTTATGTGTTTTAATCGGGCCCGGGTAAAAAGACAGTAATGCAACCTCTGGGGTCTCAGGCCAATCTACCCCTGTAAGCTGCCTATTCACCCTAAAGATTGATTGCCAATACGTTTTGAGTCGTGGACAAAACCACCATATATGTAACGTGGTTCCCACTCCCACATCTCCAACATTTATCTGATAGAGATGAAGATATTTTATTTAAAGTATACGGGCATCCAAACCACCCTGTTAGAATTTTATAATTTCTCTTCTGGACTTGACTTGATATACTGCTCTTAATAGTCAATATAAAAGATTTCTCCCAATCAATTTCCGAGATAGAATAGACCAACTCTCTCTCCCAATCTCTAGTATAGAAGAGCACCTGCAGGGATACATGGGGTCAAGTGGGAAGGTATACACAGGAACCTTCCACTATATGTATGCTTTGGAAGCAAAGATTGTGATACCACTAGAACTTCAATTGCCAAGGAGCCTTAACTCTGATAGGATCCAGCCAGCACAGTCTGCAAAAAAGAAGGATAGCAACCAGAGACTTTAATGTAAGATCTAGAAGACACTGAGGCCCTGTTTAAAGAGTAAGACCCAGTGTACTGTGGGATATCCTGATCTGAACCTCATTCTCCTTCCCATATTGCTCTGCGCAATATAACCTTTTCTATTTTAAATCTAATAAAGTGACTGATGACCATCATTCTGAACAACCAGAGAAATTAACCATTCATCAGGTGAATGCTTCTGGGACTTTACTGTAAGTAAATGGACTTAGAGCATTCATTAATGTAGCTATTAGGTAGCTGAAGAGCCATATTCCTTTAACTCATGCCTGAATGGAAACCAATTGCACTACACTTGGATATAACTTGCTAGCTTTAAACATATCTCATGGTTCTTCTACTGTAGTACAGACAAGGTATATTGATTTACAATAAAAGCAGTACAGAAGCTCACTCACATTTCTTTTGTGGAGAATTCAATAAAACTGCGTCCTGTATTTATGGCAAACAGCAGGAGTGTGTCGATGTTCTGAACTGCAGAAAGGCCTGTATACGGTGATTATACTGGTTAAATGGAAAAACAGCCCACACACATGATATTCAGAATAATACCTAAAACCCACACTTTCTCCCAAAAGAAATAAACAAATGGAATGATTATATTTATTTACAACCATTTCAGAAAACATACATGTATAATAGTTTCCCCGATTCAAAAATACAATACATATTACTAGATTTCAAGGTGTGAAAGGAGAGCGTTCATCATTGCTAAATCACTGAATTTAGGCCTGGTTCACACCTGTACGTTTTGTAGCTCGTTCAACGCTCTACGAACGCTCTACAAAACGCTCAAACATGAAAATCCCATTGTTTTCTATGGGTATGGTTCACACCTTGCCGTATTTCAGCCCTTATGAACGCGCTACAAAACGGCCTACGCCTGAAAAGGTGCATGAGCTTCTTTGCGTCGTTTTTGTTGTGCGTTTCCACTGGGATACAGCCAAGTAGCCCTCGGAAACGCGCATCTGTGGCGCTGGTTTTTTTTCCGCGAATCGCGGTAAAAACGCGCATCACGAAACGCGTGACAAACATGCATATTCGATACGCCTAGGTGTGAACAGAGCCTCAGATGTGGAGTTTGAGCACTGATATTTACTTTTAGTTTGCACACTGCATCATCCAGAGCACTTTTACTTTTGTCTACACTGTAAGGTGCATGCACCATACACTCTCGGCCCTTGCGCGCAACCCTTAAAATGCTGTGATTTGGCCAGATGCCGTGGAGGATGTAGCACTGGTGCGCATGTGCAGGAGTTACATCATCAGTGGTGAAGAGGACTTCCAAGAACCTGGAAGTATTAGCAGCAGAGATGGCGATGGTGGGTGACAACACTGAGGACCAAAGATCGATCCAACAGCGCAGGAGAAGGGCACACTTTTAAGGTAAGTATACATTAATGTGCAAGTGGACTGTGCATACTTTAGGGCAAAAACAAAGCAAAACAAGGCAGTTTACTTCTGCTTTAAATTACATCTACCATTCACAAAAAAAGCCTATGCCCACACCATGAGTGTGCAACAGTGACCAAAACTGGCTTGGCTAGAAAACCTTCCACAATTGGTTATGGTTAGCAGGGGTTCACGAGTATATACTGTATAGGCACAACATTTGTATTCGTTTTGGAAAGAATAGAAAAAATGTAAAACTCCTATTAGATTTTTTTTTGCTGTTTGTCTTTGGATGTAGAGATTTCCCTTCAAGTTCTGTCATAGGGATGCAAAAGGAAGTGTGAGGACATCTCCTCAGAATGAGACAGTTGTCACAAGAACATGTGTCCCCATTGGAATGTTTCCCCTCAATTTTTGCTCTTATGACATGTCGAAATTTCAAGATTTCCTTTTATTTTCTTCTTTCAGTGACAATGCTCAACAGGACAAAAAGAGGGGTGGCTCTCCCCGGAAGGTGTACAGACTGCAGTAAAAACCTAGCAGAGGACCTAATCCTTCTACACTCCATTCAAAAGTAAAAAACAATGTTTGCCTTTACATATACAGTGGACCCACTTACACCATTGCAGTGCAGTAATACCCGTCGTGTGTCAGCGCTATGCAGTGCCATTTAGAGCATATGTTGAGGTGCACTACACTGCTGAAAACACTGCATGCACAATTTTTGGTCTGTTGTGGTGGTTAGGCAGCTATCTGAAATGCACTGCCTTAATGCAACACACATTAACACGGACAAGGCTGGTGTGAATGGGCCATTTAAGTTTTACATGCTGTGGTAAGGTTAAGGCCTCATTCATACTATCACACTGTAGTGTTGTGTGCATTACCCAATGTTGCTAAGGTCTGAGACCCCGACTTTTAGCAACCTGGGACACTCTAGCCAGCAAACCCACTCTGGCTCAGGTGGCGAAAAGGCTAGGGACACCCCTGATGACATCCCAAGACACCTTGTCAATGGAGGTGCATTACCATAGCAGTGTGAACGGAACCTAAAAGAAAGTAGCTCTATCTGGTTTGTAAAGGGCCTGAACATAATCAGTTACATTTTTGTAGGTTCTGTTCAGTGATTCTAGTTCCCTTTAAAGTTAAACTTAGAACCTAAATTAAATGTGTATTTCTTTGTTGTTTCCAGGCTGACAGAGTCTGTGCCTTCTATTTTATAAGGAGAGGAGCGGTGTGATGGGAACTGTGAACCCATTTTACTCTTTGAAGTGCTGGAGGGTATGCCTACCATCAATGAACCCTGGGGCCTGTGAGAGCCTATGTGATCCTGTAATGATAGTGTTCAGTATATTTTTCACATGTCTTTATTTGTATTAACTGATAGTGTTAAACCTTTCCTAGTAAACCTTTCCTTTGCCCATGCTGTACCCCTTCCCCGGCAGTATATACATACCTTACCTCGCTCTCACACTCCCTTCGGCTGCGAGGAGTAAAATGCAATACAGAGTACTTCTAGGTATGGGTGAGCATGTGACTCATTCCCTCCATACCATGTGATAGCGCTAGGTGCCTCCTGATTGGAACAGCGCCCGCCACCTTGAAATGGGGACAAGGAAGGCATTCCTAGCCCTGTGTAAAAATATGGTTTATAGTAGGGATGCACCGATACCAGTTTTTCGGTATCGAGTATGAGACTGATATTTCGGTACTAGCCGATACTGAGTGCCGATACCGGTACTTCCGGTAACATAGAGCCGGCTTCCCGGGCAATCAGGGAGCCAGGCGGCGTGTCAATACCCACCTCCCGGCTTCTTGATTGCCTGGAAGCCGACTCCATTCTGTTTGGCCGGCTTGATGCCGATTGACCGGGAAGCCGGCTTCCCAATATGGTGACACGACCCCCACCCAGGAGACACCTCATTCCCCTCACATAGATTCTTAGCAGCAGTCATTACTGTAGCACTCCCTCGGCCAGCTGGGCAGATACCGCTCTCCAAGCTCTCCCGGATCTGCCCACTTCTCCTGTGTGTACAGCGCCCACGTGATCGGCCCTCAGCCTGCTACTGTGCTACCACTACTACTGGTTTAGATTTTCATGGCCTCCCTCATTATTTATATTGAAATACGTAAAACTATGTTATATTATTAATTAGAGGAGTTTATTGATAATGGTGGATTGGAGAGCTTTATATGGAATATTATTGTTATTTTAATGCTATGAAAATTTTGTAATATTTTAGAAAAACTGGTGACAAAATGTATGTCCCAAAATATATTGTGAAACTGTAATTGTTAAGGAGGGATGTGGCACCACCAGGACAGTCATTGTATCTGCCAAGTTTTTTTTTATAGTGTTATCTGTCTTAGACCATGTTTGCACTGCAAGTCACAGTATTACCAGAACAGCAAATGTAATAAAGATAAGACAATATTTATCTGAGAAAGTAACACGGCTGCGGTGTAGAACTCAGCCTTATTGTTCTTAGTCTGTTCTTTGTATTCTCAGAGAAATATCTAGAACTGGTGTTGCGTGTTGGAATTGTTTCCAATACACCTGATCAGTTTAAAGTGTGCCATGAAAGAAATGTGAGTAGGGTACATGAATATTTAACTTTTACTCCTCAAGTTTCATCAGTGAACAGGAACAGAGGGTGATGAGTAAGAGGACAGTTATTCTGTGACTGTGACAGCGCTCTGCAACATGCTTTTTTGGTGTCCTGAGATGGTCACCGATCACTATCACTGCTGGTGATAAACTATGTTTAGGCTTCATCTCTGTTAACTGGCATTTTCCAACCTTTCCTAATGGGTGGTGCATGTGGATCTGTGCCCACAGTAGCAGGGGAAGCTGCAGAGGAGCCATTGCCCGAGGACACAGAGGAGCAGCTGAGTACTGGAGATGGCACCCTTGAGCTAAGTGGACGCAAGATGACTCATCTTCCAGCATCAATATGTACCCTTGGTGACCAGCTCTACAAGCTGTACTTGAGTGGAACAATGATAACAGAAGTACCTGATGACTTCTACCAGCTTCACAATCTGCGTACGTTGGCACTTGATGCAAACAAACTGCCAGAATTGCCAGAAGCTGTGTGTTCTCTACCACATCTTGGCCGCCTCTACCTTGGAGCAAACAGACTACAGGGATTACCCCCGGCCTTTGCACGTCTCCAAACACTACGCACCTTGTGGATAGAACGGAACTTCCTGCATCACTTTCCACGGGTGTTGCTAAGCATGCCTGGCTTGCGCTGTCTACAAATGGGTGACAACCGTTTAAAAGGGCTTCCAGGGGACATTGCTACATGTATGCCAGGCCTAAAAGGTCTATGGCTGTATGCAAACAGACTAGAGCGGGTGCCAAAAGTTCTGCTACGGTTACATGGCTTGGAAATCCTAGATCTGGACCGGAACCGTATTGCTGTCTTTCCAGACATGAGTGGACTGAAAGGACTGCGTCTCTTATCCTTTGACCACAACCCTGTGAAAGCACCTCCCAAGGTGGGGGAAACAGTTACTCTTGTAGGGGAGGGTGCTCAGGAGTTCATGGAAGAACGGGAGGAGCAGAGGAAGCTGAGAGAGGAGGAAGAGATGGAGGGACAGGAAAGGGAGCAGCAAGAGAAGGAGGCAGCAAAGGCGGAAATGATTGAAGAAGGAGAAGAGGAGGAAAAGCAAGAAGAAGAGCAGTATGATGAGGAAGAGGCAGAGCAGGAGAACCCTAACACTAATCAATACCCTGGGGACAGGGAAGGAGATTTCTATGAAGAGGAGGATGAGTATTACCTAGACGAGGAAGAGGAGGATTATTACCCGCATGAAAGAGAAAATTATTATACAAGAGGGATTTATTGATACAGTATACCCTTTTATTATTATATTGATGGTAATTCAAGGATAACTAAGCTATTTTTTCAAACTCTATTCAGGACGTTTAATATTCAGTGTCAGTAAGCTGGACCTCTAATACGCTTAACTCATCAGTATCTCAAAAACAAAGGCATGCCATTGTAAGAGGATCGGGCCTGCTGGCATGCGCTGAACACCCTCAAGGAACTTTCTCGGCTAACCCTTTCATGGACTTCTGTTTATACTATGTAGAAACACAGAGCGAGGAGGACATCAGGAGTTTTCTAAAGTTGACGTCATTTTCACTTAATTGGCAACCATCATCTTATGTCTATGTCTACCTAAAAGAGAATCTGCCACTCTACCCATTCAGGGCAAAATGTAAGGTTCTCTTGTAAGAAGAATCCATAACCCACTGATACTCACCATAACTGTGCTCCTCCACCGATCTCAGAAAGTACTCATCCTTTTGAGTATGGAGTAGCATGTGACCTCCTCCCAGGATGCAGTGCATGGGCTGAGTGGCCAGTTGCCCCACCAGTAGAGGGAAGAAGTTAACCCTGTACAAGCCCCAGCACCACCCAACACAGCAATCACACAGGATTAGGACTCTGCTATCAGCTGCGGGTGAGTTTTTCTTGCAAGAGAACCTGTCACTTTGTCTTAAATGGACAAAGTCACAGAGGCTCATTAAGAGGGGCCATAACTTTTTACTTAGTTTTGTAAGGAATTAAAAAGGGTCAGAATAACTGTCAGGATATTTGATATTGTCTGTGATGTTTGATATTGTCTGTGTCTCATTTGTAGAAATGTCCTTTCTCAGTAACCACATTGGAAATAAGAAGAAATAGGAAGTGAAGACACAGATGAGAACAAATGCCTGGTAAATGTTCTGACCCTTTTTTAATTACATGCAAAATGTAAAAAAGATTTTATGACTGGACTGTTAACACGACTCAACTCATGAGAAAAGCAAAATCTCGCTCAGTTCTCGAATTGATGTCCCCTGAAGTTCTCTGGGAAACTCTCACTTCTGGGATTGTAGATCTCCTAGGTCCACCATAGTGCACACTGGTTCATCCATCTAAATTCCACTTGACTGTAGGACACAGTACAGATGTGGAGGTCAGCAGGAGTAACCAGGGACCCAGGAGATTGAGACTGCCAGAAGTAATGGTTTGCCAGTGGACTTTAATGATGGAAAATAAGGAAGAGAGAAGTGTTCACTGGCATGGGAACCGGGAAAGGTGAGTATTTACAGTTGAAAGCGATTTTTCTATTTTTTATGGCAGGGTCACTTAAACATTAAACACTGGCAACTAGATCTACATTTAATGGTAGATGTTGGCTGTTACATCAGAAGCCAGTCAAGACAGACTGCTATTGCTAATCTCCTTCTAAAAATGCTAGTTGGAAGGCTGCCATTTTGATACTTTGGATTTAATACTTTGAGTCCCTTACCTGAACCCAATAAAGTGCAACTGAATATGCAGACATTTTTTTTGAGAGAGAGGAATTTGAACACCTGTCTGGTTTTAATTGCTGGACAACAATCCAGCTTGATGGTGCAGGGCCTATGGTGATACTGGTAAAAATCCAAAATGACAAAAATGAGACAGTTATGACCTTAGATATTTACTAAGGTCAAAAAGCAGAAAATTACACAGTGCAACCCCAAACAAAACACCAACATTCTGGAGGCACAGAGGCCCCCTTTCTCAAGGTGGCAGACCTTTTAGGCTTTTACTCCTGTGTGCATCCTCGTTAAGGAGATTCACCCTCTCTATTTGTCCTGGTGACCATTTTCGCTGAAACTGAAGGAAAATCCCAAATTTTTGGTTGTTACCAGAACAGGAATAGATGTGAAATATTTCAGTGTGGACCCTGCTGGCCACCAGGGATTTCCCTGTCTTTCGATGTACTGTATTTGCTGGCGTATAAGACTACTTTTTATAAAATCGGGGGTCGTCTTATATGCGGGGTATACAATGTATGCCTTTAGTCCGTTTGGGCCAAGCTGGCCCACAACGAACATCCCTAATCTGTCAGCCCGCTGGATGTGCGGTAATACTGTATGTACGGTAGCTTCGGCTACATACAGTAGCTGAGCCAATCACGGCGAGCGATGTACACAGCCTCTGCCAATCCGAGCAGGCTTTGTATTCATTAATAGAATACATTGCTCGCCGTGTTTGGCTCAGTGCGGTATACTGTATGTAGCCGAAGCTACCGTACATACAGTATTACAGCACATCCATCCATGATGTTTTTAAATGGTGTTGCCTCTGAAGTGGGGTAGTCTTATATGACGAGTATAGCCCAGTCGCCTTATACGCCGGCAAATACGGTATTTCCTCTCACTTCCTATTGTAAAGGAAGTGAAGACACATCTCTCCAATGGGACAAAGATGGCAAAATATCTGTTAACCCTTCTTTACTCTATCTAAAACTTTAAAAAAAACTTAAAAAAAACTTTTGGTTTAAGTTTTACTTTATGCAAACTCAGATAACTGACCTCACACTGCCTTTTGTGATCTGGATACCTTTTCCAGGTCAGTAGGTCAGTGACTACAACAAGGCAGAACATAGCAGCCAGGAAACTAATATTTTTAATAGGAAGTAAGTACTTTTCGGTCACAACACTATTTCTTTAATCGCAGTCCTGCAGCCTTTGTTCATAGTCAAGCGTTGTGTGATATTTTCACACTGAACTGCAATATCTTATATGCCCACTAGATGACGCCATGATTCACCTATAATTACATTATAAATTGTAAATGAATGCTCTCATGCTTTTGATCAACTGATACCTGAACACTGTTATTACTGTCATTATATTAATTGAGTTTATGTAAGGAGCGGGTTAAAGCTGAACTCCAGGCAAAACCTTTTTTTTTGTTTTTTGTTTTCTGATTGGCTGTGGTCACTGTTTGGCAGAAAAATTTCGACCTGGCTCCTTCACTAAAAGTTGATAGATTAATAAACTTTTGCCGAGCCATCACGGACACCCAAAGTAAGAATTTTGGCTGATTCCTGTGTATGACCAGCCTTAAGCTGGCCCTGCACTGTGTGTATTTTGGCCAGGTCAAATTTTGCACAGTGCGTGGCCCTGTCGGCAGTCTTCCATCTGGCGTCCTTCGATCAGAAAATCAAAGGAGCTGGTCGGAAAGTTTTTAAGCGAACATTGACATTGACTGATGTCATTGTTTGGGTATTTTGACAATGGCACACCCACCACTTTTTTACAGATTCCACTGAGGAATCTGTAAAACTTTTTTTTAGCCCACAGGTTGAACGAAAAACAGTGTATTGCCAGCTTTAGTGTTACCAGTTCCTCTTCATTTCATATAATGACCGGCTTTACTAGTTTGGGAAGATGATGACTGCAGTGTACTATAAAAGGTTAATGGGCAGCAAGTCAGGAATGCAGAACATATCCTTGTACACACTCAGACACCAAATCTCAGCATTATCCCCAGCTTATTCTGCTCTGATAACTTCCTGGAACTTTTACACATACTTCTAAACATTGTTTATCAACTTGTAGGGGATTTATAGGCTTAATGCTTCTTCAAAGTAAAACTGTCACGTATGAGGAAATTACACAATGTTAAAGAACGAGCTCATAGTTTACATTCATGCTGCCATTGCAGGGAAATCAGCAGTGGAAAATTGACAGATTTATCATCTTTTATTTAAATCTAATGGTTCCGGGAAGCCTAAACAGAGTCAGATCTCAGGCTATGTTCACACCATGTCTGGACCAGACCTGGAGCAGATCTGCAAACGCAGTGCAGTTGCCATTTTTTATGCATTCCAGTGCAGGTTTTTTTTAGCTTAAAATGATCTCTCCGGTGCAGTCCAGTGCGTTCCAGTGCGTTTGTATGCGTTCTTGATGCGTTTACATGTGTTCCAGACCAAAACAAAATAGTGCATGCAACGTTTCAACCCCCGCTCCGCACTGGAACGGACTGCACTGGTGTGAACAAAGCCCAGAAATACCATAGGAATACATTGGGATGAATTTCAGGTACGGAGAAAAACTGTTATGATCTGGACATGATCTGGACATGGTGTAAACAAGTCCTCAAAGTCACCATTCTCTGACTGTACACTGCAGACATGGGATCTTGGAGTGAATTTATTACATTGTAACATTGATCTGGACAGTGGCAGGTTCTGGTTAAGTTAAAATAAATGTATAATTAGTGAAAAATGTGGCATGCCGAGTGTTGTGTTGTAGGTAATGGATTCCCATGTATTGTTCACACACTAGGTCAGTTCTGATTGCTGGTAGCATGGAGCTCTCAGTGCTCAGAAGCAGCATAAACCCTGCAGCTCCCCTAGTTGCCCCTTTGTTGCAATGTTTCTAAGGGTCACCATACACATTACATTCTGACCATACAATTTTGGTACAATGATCTTTAGATTTATCAAAACTATGTCATATGAGGACCTACCTACCTAAACTATCAAATTGATTTGTATCCAATAAGGCTCTTGTACTATAAAGTTGGTAGAGCTAAACGGGCTGAATGAAAGAAATGTAACAGATTCCTCTATCCACACTTAAAAGTTTGGATGGACAAATTTCCCACATGGGCCTACTGAATATGACAGCAAGGCTCCTGTCAGAATCCCAGAGCAATAGTGTCATTAGTCACCCGCACTCCATACAGCGTTGTGACCTTACAAGACGGTGATTCTCGTAGTGATAACATGTAGAACTCCAAAGTGAAGATCACATAATCACCAGCACGCATGCAGTGAAATCATAGATATTTTTTCGGTTTATTTAAGCGTGATCACCATTTGTCCTGAAACATCAAAATTTTGAGGCCACACATGGTTACTATCATACCTATGCCGCCCTAAAGAAGGGACCCTGCGTGGCCCCGAAACATTGGCATTTCATGACAAATGGTGACGACGATTCAATGGATTGAAACAGGATCTATGATTTCACTGCATGCATGCTGGTGATTTTGTTATCTTCACCCAGAACG